ATCAGTAGCTAAAGAATAAAGAAATATCTAGCCTCCTAAAAAGATCCCTCCAACGAACGTCGGGTTAGGGGGGGCAGATTAGGCCTTGCAAGAATGAACACTAGAATCAACCAATGGCTGCAATATTGCTTCAAACAAGTATGGAAACTACTACAAGTGCTTGGAGCAGTTGAAATAAACAGCTTCCTATTTTGACCCACTAAAACCCATGCCTTCCGTAAAAGGCGACTATGCATGTCGTAAGAGGCGACTAACGGGTTCGTGTGGTCAGGCCTGCTGACTTGGTTGATGCATGTCATCGTATCCCAATTACGTGGATCGATGCTCATGATGTCAGTCACTGGATTGGGTGGTCCAGACTGGATTGTGTGGTACAGTGTGCGAAGCCCATTTCTGGTGTCCCCCACAGTGGTATTGTCGGAATAATGCTAAAAGAGGTGTAAAACCAAACCAAACTCACTCAGAAGATATGGCGAAAAGGGGAAACAAGCTGGAGTTACGGAAAGGTGCTAGGATTAATAATCAGTTTTAAAATGATATAATTACAAATATACTGCCACATGCACAAAGCGCTGTAGCTCACCTGTTTTTGCTGGAATATTTAATAAAATAAAAGAACATTTTATTTACAAAATTAACACGAAAATGCCGAACTTATTAACAGAAGTTTCAATACAACAAAACAACATGCATATTCCAGAGACCCCCATACTTGGATTATAAAGAGTAAATATTGCGCCCCGTATGCATAACAATTATGAATGGACGCAAATAATAATATCCATTTGACACACAGGAATATGGATGGTGGAACGGGTTTTTTTTTCCGGTGAACAATTGACTTACCTTTGCGTGTGTTTGTGACACCGTTGGGGCAGGATACGGTCACCTTTTCGCGAACACGTGGTATCTTTACCTTTTGATAGTGATTCATAAACACATGCTCATGATATAGTCGGAATCGTACAATCGACTCTGCTTTGTGCAGAGATGTCTATTGGATACAGAAAGGGTTTTGTCGCTTTATTTACTCAGTCCTTAAATTTCGTTTCAAACAAGAACATCCCTTTCTGAAAGAAGCAAAAGGCCTCACACATAATTTTTAAGGTGTTTTTTTGGCTGTTGGTTCAGTGGTCACTATATTAAGCTGGTACCCGATTATATTCACGTGACCACCAAAATTCATTACCTAGGACTCGCAATTACAAAGGTAAGTCCATGCGATACCATTGCTGGGATGATCGATCAAAGTCACTGTCTTTCTGCAGTAAACGTTCATCACGTCAGAGTTATACTTCATATGAATGCCCGTTCCCGTATTTTCTGGTGAAAAATTGACTTGCCTTTGCATGTGCTTGTTACGGGCGCCACTGGTGGCGTAGGATATATACGATCACCTTTTCGCGAACACCTAGTATCATTACTATTTGATAGGGGTTCATGAGCGCATGATCTTGAAAGTGTCGGACTCGTACATTTGAATCTGCTGTTAGCATCCTTATGAATATAGAAAGGGTTTTATCGCTTTTATCTATTATTGATACGTAAAGGCTAAAAGTCGTATGGTTTGTTTGTTGTTTAACGCCGCACTCAGCAATATTACAGCTATATGACGGCGGTCTGTAAATAATCGAGTCTAGGCCAGACAATCCAGTGATTGATATCATGAGCATCGCTCCGCGCAAATGAGATACGGTGACATGCATCAACCAAGTCAGCGAGCCTGACCACCCGATCCCGTAGTCGCCTCTTACGACAAGCCTGGTCGCCATTGACGGCAAGCATTGGTTACTGAAAACCTATTCAACCCCGGATGTAGTCGTATGCAGATATATAGAATACTAAATACTAAAAACTAAACGAGCTCCCGTGTAATACTCGCTCGTCAGATACCACAACTATTCACTCGTTTAATAAATTGGTTTTACACGGGAGCGAGTTTAGTATTTTATTTATTACTTGCCATTTATAACGTTTTTAGAATTATACTGTCGAGTGTGAATAGGCTGACACCTACACGATCCATGGCATAATACAATTGAGTTACAACAGAATAATACTTCAAACACGTCAAAAGTTGAAACGTATGAATTTAATACCATACAAAGGTCCACCTTTAGAATTCAGGCGTCCGTTCCACAAAATTATCGTAGCGTTAAGGTTATCGCATCTCACAAACTTAGACCAACGACTGTCGTTGCGCTACAGTACGATCGCCTTGTGGAACGGGGCCTTGCACCTCAAAGTTTACAATGACGTCACAATACCCGATGACGTAATTTGTGGTATTTTGTTGCAAGATCCTTCAGCGAAACAATGCCATGTGACGTCAGCCTAGCAACAATCTGAGATCCTCTCAGTGATCTATCATCTCCACACGCAATGTCGTTGAATAAGCCAAAGGGATGTTGAGAGCTTTCATTATTTTTCGTTAAACGTGTTCCGGGAGTACATAAGCACGCGTTTTGGTATTACACAATGTGTAATACAGCTGTATGTTTATCAAACGGGTGATCTCTTCACGGGCAAGTAATAAAGCCTGTTATCTCTACACCCTTACGTAAAAAATAATGGTCCTATGATTCATCAGTATACTAAGGATGGGAAACGTAAAAACGTTCGTTCCGGTTTGGGGACCCAACTACTGCAGTCTGCAGAATATACTTACTGAACTATGACTTAGATGCACGTATAATGATTGTTGTAAATTAACACACCAATATTCAAACAATGTGATGGCAGCAAGAAGATAATTAAGTCTGGACCAGAGTGAGTGAGTGAGTGAGTGAGTGAGTGAGTGAGTATGGTTTAACGCCGCTTTTAGCAATATTCCAGCGATGTCACGGCGGGGGACACCTTAAATGGGTTCACACATTGTACCCATGTCGGGAATCGAACCCAGGTCTTCGGCGTGACGAGCGAACGCTTTAACCACCAGGCTACCCGACCGCCCCTCTGGACCAGACAAACCATTTATTGATTTTGTGAGCAATCATCAGCCATGAAGCCGGGTATGACACACAATCAATCACGTCAACCAAATTATTTGGTCACCTCTAAAGGACAAGTTCACTTACAGGGTCCGGGAAATATACACGCAAAAATCACTTTCTTTCTTATTTGAAACAAAATGCAATTTTAATTAGTTAATATCAGTGTTTGAAAATATTCACTCATTTTTGTCACAGTGAAAGTAGGAAACCCACAATAAGTGTGAAAATGTTATGCCATTATGAGGCCTTCGTTTTCCAAGCCAAATAGGCCTGAGTTATCCCCCTTAGATTATGACGTAACAAGCTCCTTTCCCAGCGCGTGACACCTTACACTCTCGGTATAGAGAGCTCCGCGAACGGACTATCGCTGTGAGGAGCTTGATGACGTAATTGGTGCCAATTTGACTGGCTCCCTGTCTAGTCTCGACGCAAAAGATATCAAGTAGGCTACTAGTTTACGGTAAAACAACATGGCCTACGAGAACCTACACCAGCCAATTTCAAGTCAAGATAAAGTCAAGGTATGGTGATGAAGAGGAAACAAGTGAAGACCTTTTGTTCGTGTCGTCAAGCTCCGACTCATCTACGCAACAAGCGACGAGACCACTGTGGTAAGGATACACTAAGCCTAAGTATCTCATTACAGCTCATTGTACTACATTTCCAGAAGCGAAACGTATTCTTAGAGATATTTGTCCTGCCTGGTTACCCACACTCTTCTTTAGCTATTCATCATGTTCCATTCTGTTTCGATTCTATGGCAATGTCGTACAATCTGAGCTGATCAAAGATGTTTCACTTTCCGGCCACAGGAACTCGTTATTGCATGGTCAGTAAATAAAAAGTAGAGAACTTACATATATAGGGGGTATATATTTTTATTTACTGACCAATAACGAGTTCCTGTGTTTCCGGCCTACCTTTAGAGACCCATGAAGATCTGCTGGGGTGGAATACGATAGGTCTTCAGCAACCCATGCTTTCCTGTAAAAGGAGACTATGCTTGTCGTAAGAGGCGACTAACGGGTGGTCAGACTTGCTGACTTGCTTGATGCATGTCATCGATCCCAATTGCGTGGATCGATGCTCATGACATTAATCACTGGATTGTCTGGTCCAGACTCGATTATTTACAGACTGCTGTCATATAGCTTGAATATTGCTGAGTGCTGGGTTAAACAACAAACAAACCAACCAACCAGCCAACCCTTGTTGTCATCCATGTGTCATGGTATAACCTTTACCTGTGTATTTGTCTTCACGTGTTGCTCAGTTAATGAATTTATTGCAGGTGTAATTAGTGGTAGCTGGATGCTGGATGCTGTTGGCCAACTTCTGAAGATGGATTAAGGTTGTGTCAGTGTGACAACCTCGATGTGAACTGTGATGTGAACTGTGATGTGAACTGTGATATTAACTTTAACTGAACTCTAAGTGGCGAATATGTTAAATCAATGGATTTAAGGGATGGATGAATTAAAATGTTGAATGAAATTAAGTCAAAGAGGGTATCAAGCATCTTGAGTCATTTCTTTTGTCTATAATAAGACAAGTCCATTTTCATGATAGGGGTTAATTACCTGATTAACATGTGCAACCAGGTATGACATTGTTGTTTTAAGGTGTCTCACAACTGGGCTGTCTTACTAATGGAGGAGACCACGGGTTCCCATTTGGCCTTTCTTGGGTCTTGGGTAATTATTCAATCTAAATCCAGGTTTGAAGTGGGGTGAAATGTATGTTATGTTATATGCATGCCCAGTACAGCGAAGCAAGAGAGGAATGATCACCTGAGTTAAAAAACAAAACATCAAAGGATTAACCAAACATATGTTGATTGATTAATCACTGTTATCTTGCAAAGTGGATTTGTCAAAATTAAGTGTTTACATGTGTAGGTTTACTAAATCAGAAGGAATACACCCATGTGTGGGCATGAAGTGCCTGTGTAAAAACAACATATTTTGTTCATCTAAAGTGGCATTTTGACCAGCTGATCTGAGTTCGATGTTTGCAGTGTATGATCGACCACCCCCCTTGTCCCTCACTATCCTCTACCGCCTTGTAGACGTTGTGGTACTTGGACACGTAGGTACATTTGCTACATTAATCCCACCCCCTCCCCACTCCAGCCAAGGCCCCAGTCCAGTCAAGGCCCCAGTCCAGCCAAGGCCCCAGTCCAGTCAAGGCCCCGGTCCAGTCAAGGCCCCAGTCCAGTCAAGGCCCCAGTCCAGTCAAGGCCCTGGTCAAGTCAAGGCCCCAGTCCAGTCAAGGCCCCAGTCCAGCCAAGACCCCAGTCCAGTCAAGGCCCCAGTCCAGCCAAGGCCCCGGTCCAGTCAAGGCCCCAGTCCAGTCAAGGCCCCAGTCCAGTCAAGGCCCTGGTCAAGTCAAGGCCCCGATCCAGTCAAGGCCCAAGTCCATTCAAGGCCCCAGTCCAGTCAAGGCCCCAGTCCAGTCAAGGCCCCAGTCCAGTCCAGGCCCCAGTCCAGTCCCCAGTCCAGTCTAGTCAAGGCCCCCGTCCAGTCAAGACCCCAGTCCAGTCAAGGCCTCAGTCCAGTCAAGGCCCCAGTCCGGTCAAGGCCTCAGTCTAGTCAAGGCCCCAGTCCAGTCCAGTCAAGGCCCCACTCCAGTCAGGGCCCCACTGTTGAGTTCCATCATGAGGTCACCCTCATACATTAGAAATTTCTGGTTCTAATTATAAAGAATGTGACATTGATCGACTTTACTAAATTATCTCCCCTGTTTAGTAAAATGCGTTGTATATTTCTGTCCCCTACAGGTTCTACTACACCAAATCAGAACCAGTTGTGACCAGCTGTTTTCGTAGGGAGCCTTCAGTGCAGATCGAGATATATCTGCAGGCTGTGATTGGATGATATTGTGTAAGATTTTTATGTCGTTTAAATGTACATCCATCCAGTAATTAAAACTGGCCATGTTTTTCTATATTTAGTGCTGTCTTTTTCAACATGATGACTTATGCTGAATGTGACCACAGATATTTTCAAGTAGGTGACATTTGGTGAGAAACTGGGGATGGTGTGTTTAGCTTCCTGTACTCGGAAAAGGAGCTGACTTAGCTAGTCATTCTTTATGTTTTTATTGCTGCTCTAAGGCCAAACTGTGCACACATGTATAGGTAATAGCTGTTGAATGCTTAATTATTTTTACAAAATATATAATGTTACTATAGAAGTCTATGGGAAAACATTGTGTGTAACCTGTAGGGTGAGTGCACTTTTCAGTAATTCATACTTTATAGGCTTTCCTGTTTACATTTCACCATGGATACATATTGGCATGAATGTAGAGGCAAATTTAAAAGTAATGACAGTGAAGTTGGGGACAGTTTGGGTTGAATGGAGCAGTTGGATGGCCTGGAAATGAATGTTGCTTCGTATTGTGGTCATACTCAGCACAACCCCCGAGGGTGGCTCTGTCCATCCAGATCTGGCCCCCTGCCTTCTGAATTTGTTGAAACTGATGAATTTGACAACAAATTAGGATAAAGTCACCACTGCCACAACAATTTCTGCCTTGTGTCAATCGCTTGTCAGTCAAGTTACGCGATGCCGTTATCTTGAGTATGAAGCATGTACACTGCTGACAGCAGAATATGTCACACATCCCCTTATTTATAGTAAACAACGTAGCATACCAATATATCTTTCTGTTAGGTGCTTTTGTGTGAATGAATGATACTATTTTTCTATTAAGGTTCTTAAAACAGACTTTTTTTCACTAATATCACTTTCAAATACTGTATTCGACGTAATAAGCGCCCCGCTGTGATAAGCGCCCACGGCAATATTCGCTAATAAATTGGCCAGTGAACAATCTTAATTAGCACCCCCTCCGATTGATCAATGTACACAAGACTTATATATTTGCTTAAAATACGCACTCATCTGTTATATGGACACTTAATTATGGGCAATTAAATTCTGGAAAAATATATCTTTCGTACATAAACATTTCAGTCTGTCAGCATAAACCACGAAATTTACCTTTCAACTCTGTTTTTTTCCACTAAAATAATATTCTAATAAGAGCCCCCTATTTCTAATTTTGAGAGCGCCCTGGGCGCTTATTACGTCGAATACGGTTATTATTTTTTCCCCTCAAAAACTGTCTCCTGGCTGTTATATCCAAAATGGTTTGACATTTAATATTGTCTCAACACTGTTTTCAGTTTTTAGCATGCCTGATGTTGACTGGGGAGGTACATGTGATCTCATGCAGAAGAAATAGAAGTTTTCACATCCAATTTGGCATTTAGAGAAGCTGATCTGAAGTCCGGTGTTGGCAGTGTGTGATCGACAACCCTTATTTGCCTCGCTGCGCTCGTAGAACTTGGACATGCAGGTACGTTAAGTACATTTAGGAACCCCAGCCCACTTAAGGCCCCCTCTTTTGCTCACTACCAAGTTCCATCACAATCTCATTAAAATCAGATCTTAGTTCTAGCTATCACTAATAAGATGTCCTCAGATCTTTGTTTAGTGGTAGCGAAAACTAAGATCTCATTTTAATGAGATTGGTTCCATTATAAGATCACCCTTATGCATTAGAAATTTCTGACAGTGCTCCCTTAATGCCTCACTGTGCAGTTTTTCAGTTTGCAAACATGAAGTAAGGGCTATACACCAGCCCCAGAACCTGCTTAGATGAAATAATACCCTCTTCTGGAATGTAACATTATGGTTCTGAAATCATCTGTAAAGAATGATAGTGTTCGACAATACTAAATTATCTCCCCTGTTTAGTAAAATGCATTGTATCTTTCATTCCCCTATAAACCCATAGATTATTGGAGAGAAACACTTTTTTAAGCTGGTATTGCATGACACTGTTAATTGTGAATAAAAAGAATTACATTTTTGTCAGGATAAGCTCTACATTTTCTAAATTATATGGAATTTTCACTTTGAAACTGGCAAATAACTGAAATTAGCATGTTTAGCCACCTTGAAACATTAAACAGTAATTATTTTTTTATTCTCTGGGGGTATTTTGAAGTCTTAACTAAACAAATCAATAGAGTTTAATTTCCTTTCATGTTGTAATTTCAAAGAGCTGTCTTCTACTTAAGAGTCTTAAAAAGGGGGGGGGGGGGGGGTCGGGTAGCCTAGTGGTTAAAGCAATCGCTCGTCACGCCGAAGACCCGGGTTCGATTCCCGACATGGGTACAATGTGTGAAGCCCATTTCTGGTGTCCCCCGCTGTGATATTGCTGGAATATTGCAAAAAGCGGCGTAAAACAATACTCACTCACTCACTCACTTAAAAAGGGATATGGTTCACAGGTCAGTGTTTGAGGTTGCTGGCAACAATCCACCCTTTTACTTCCTATTTTCTGGTAAAGTTCATTATCCAGCCTTACATATATGATGACTTTAAAGCTGCTTAATGTGTCCCTTGCCAATTGTAGGCCTGAAATCCATGCTCTCTGTCCAACTTTGAGATTTTATTCTGATTCCTTTCCATGTGTTCTTATGTTACCAGCTTATTTCATAGGTGCTTATACTTTTGATTTTTGGAATAAATGAAAGCACAAACATTTGGGATAGCCCCTCCATAGATGATTAACCAAATACTGACAGTAATTTGAGTGTTTAATTATATAAACAATGCAGGGTGTAAGTTTGAGCAATCTCAAACAATATCAATCGCATCATGTCATGAGTGTCAAAACCATATTCCGTGAATGTAGCAGACTCTGCTATGTTCTGATGATGTCAGCAAAGGAAGGCAAACAACTGACCATTACACAATTTTAAATACTTATTGTTCCTGGTTTTGAGATTTAAAGATTTGTTCATTTTTTTAGTTGAAAAATATTTTAGGGTGATATGATCTATGCAGCCTCAATCTTGTATAGAATTGACCCTTGACCCCCTTCTTTTATGAAATATGAATTAACTCCCATGGTCAGTGCATGAAGGTAGAAACTTCTTTATTAATACAGAAATACCTTTTGTAAAACATTGATGAAGGGTACATCATTAAACTCTCACAACTCTTTCTGTGCATCAAAACTATGTATTCTGGTGCCATATAGACATGCTGGATAGGAACAAGTAGTGAAGTTTAATCCATTTTCCATTTTTTTTCTGAGAAGCTACATATATATACAATACATAAATCACAGATTTGACAAGTGCAAATGTATTCTGATTTGTCTACAGGTTCTACTACACCAAATCAGAACCAGTTTGGACAGTGTGGTTTTTGTAGGGAGCCTTCAGTGCAGATCGAGAGATATCTGCAGGCTGTGATTGGAGGATATTCTGTAAGATTTTTATGTCTTTCAAATGTACATCCATCCAGTTATTAAAACTGACCTTGTTTTTCTATATTTAGTACTGTCTTTTTCAACATGATGACTTCTGCTGAATGTGACTACAGCTATTTTCAAGTAGGTGACATTTGGTGTGAAACTTGGGGTGGTCAGTGTAGGAAGGTAGAAACTTCTTTCTTAATACAGAAATACCTTTTGTAAAACATTGATGAAGTGTACATCATTAAACTCTTACAACTCTTTCGTTGCATCAAAACTTTGTATTCTGGTGCCATATAGACATGCTGGATAGGAACAAGTACTGAAGTTAATTCCATTTTCCATTTTTTTCTTAGAAGCTACATATATATATAATACATAAATTCAGGGGTTCCGGAAAATTTAAAATCCCAATCGGACATTTGCATTTAGGTGCAGATGTTTTCTGTTTTTTCTACAAGCCCATAAGTTATTGGAGAGAAATTCTCTTTTAAGCTGGTATTGCCAAACACTGTTAATTGTGAATAAAAATAACAACTTTTGTTTCGGGATAACCTGTATATTTCTTAATTAATATGGAATTTTTACTTTGTCTCCTTCAAACAGGCAAATAATTGAAATTGGCATGTTAAGCAATCTAAAAACATTAAACATAAAGTGTTTTAGATTTTCTGGGAGTATTTCAAAGTCTTAAGTGAATGAGTCATTAAACTTAAGTGTAATTTTCTTTCATGTTGTGGTTTTAAAGCGTTTTCTTTTACTTGAGTGGGTTACTTCCCTTTATCGGCTGTGACAAATTGGTAACAATCCACCCCTTTACTTCCTACTTTCTGGTAAGGTTCATTACCTCTCCTCACACGTATGGGAACTTTAAAACTGCTTAATGTGTCCCTAGCCAATTTCACTGCCTCCGTGGTCTAGTGGTAGAGCGTCCGCCCGGAGAGCAGAAGGTCCGGGGTTCGATCCCAGACCTCGTCATACCAAAAGACGTTAAAAGATGGTACTTGTTGTTACCCTGTCTGGCGCTCAGCATTAAGGGGCTAAAACAAGGACGGGTCGTCTCAGAGTCAATATACTGTGTCTGAATGTGGCCACAGATATTTTCAAGCAAGTGACATTTGGTGCGCAACTTGGGATAGTGTGTTTAGCTTCCTGTACTCGGGGAAAAGGAGCTTGCTAAGCTAGTCAATTCTGTTTGTTGTTATTGCTGCTTTGAGGCCAAATTGTGCACACATGTGCATTTATTAAATTGCTGCTGAATGCTTAGTTATTTAAAAAATATATATACCGTTACCATAGAAGTCTTAGGAAAACATTTGTTTGGGGGAGTCTAATAGATGAGAGAGTGAGTGAGTGAGTATGGTTTTACACCGCTTTTAGCAATATTCCAGCAATATCATGGCGGGGGACACCAGAAATGGGCTTCACACATTGTACCCATGTCGGGATTCGAACCCGGGTCTTCGGCGTGACGAGCGAACGCTTTAACCACTAGGCTACCAGAGCGCCCCTAATAGATGAGGAAAAGGCAAAGGAGTTGCTAGAGCAAAGGAAGGGAGCTACATGTTCTGTTTCACGTTTAAAGAAAAGAAAACATGGTATCTGCAGATTTTTGGCGTTTTAATTTGTCTCAAAAGGGAGGGGAAGGTGTCGTTTACAGAGCACAACTTGAAAAGACTTTTCATTCAAACCAGGTACATGTATTAACCAAGTGGTGCCTTTTGTTATTTAGGAATTTTTCAAAATTTGATTTTTTTTCCTTGTTTCCATGGAAACAAGTTAGACTCAGCTGAAATACTGGTAGGTGTTGTTTGGGAGCAGAACTAAAAAACTATTCAACATTTTTCATCCAAACATGGTTCATGTATTAATCAAGGGCTGAAGTTGTGCCTTTTGCTATTAAGGGATTTAAAAAAAAAATCCTGTTTCCATGGCAACAAGTTTGACTTTGACTCTGTTCATAGTGGTGTGTTTGTCTGGGCCATATCCCTAAAACTACTAGGTATTCTTTCATAACACTTTACACACACAAAGACCAGGTTGTCAAATGGTGCCTTTTGCTACTTAGGGATGTTTAGAATTTATGTTTTGTCTGTTAATGTAGCAAGTGGCATGGGCCTTTGTTTTTCAGCTGTACAGTATGTTCCAAAACTTGAAGGTTGGTAGCCCAATGGTTAAAGTGTTCGCTTGTCATGCCAAAGATCAGGTTCGATTCCCCACTTGGGTACAATGTGTGAAGCCCATTTCTGGTGTCCCCAGCCGTGATTTTGCTGGAATATTGCTAAAAGCGGTGTAAAACCAAACTCACTCACTCATTACGAAGCATATAATCTCATTAGTTTATGTCACCTTCTTGTAGGGTTGAAACGGTACCGGAAACCCAAATACCACTCGAGCAGAGCCACTACTTGAGCAGTAAACTAGTCCTACTAATCGATTATACGGGATAGCTATCTCCACTGGTGTGATCGAGTTACCTCCCTTTTGAGAGACAGCGTGGCGCTTGGATGAAAACTGACCCAATAACGTATGGTCTTGTTTTAAAGTCCCCGAGGACAAATTAATAAATGGAAAACAATCGACTCTCAACTACACGCAGATGGTAACGTATTACAAACTACACAGGATTGGCGATAATAAAGACACATGTTTCATTTTTCAACTGAATACCTGCAATAACGACTTTATTATACCAACTATAATTGTTGGTTGGTTGGTTGGTTTGTTGTTTAATGCCGCACTCAGCAATATTCCAGCTATATGACGGCGGTCTGTAAATAATCGAGTATGGACCAGACAATCCAGTGATCATGAGCATTGATCCACGCAATTGGGGTCGATGACATGCATCAACCAAGTCAGCGAGCCTGACCACCCGATCCCGTTTGTCGCCTTTTACGGCAAGTATGGGTTGCTGAAGATCATATTAGCAGTCATTATGACGCTCTATGGTGTTTAAAAGTACGAAGAATATGAATTTTGAATGTGTTAAAAGTAAATTCAATCTTCTAAATAATTATCAATCTAATATTGAAATCATCATCATAAATAAGTCATGGATAACCTATAGTATTATCTCTACTGCGTTCCGTGAACATACCCTAGAAATTCTAGAAGCAAATCTCCCTTGCCGCAAACTATGTATAAAACTTTATAGGGATAGAGACCAGTTTGTGGAAATTACTTTATGATAAGAATTCTATTCAATTAAATTGTAATTCTTGTATTATTTAGATCCAGGTTTAAGCTCATATTTGAAACTTACGACTTGAAAGTTTTCGCGGTTTTTGACAAAACTATGTGTAGACAATACCCTGGCTAATCCATAATCTACAATACTATACCAAATACAAACGATCAATACGACTGTAGGGCTGACGTATTTTAGTTAACGCTAACGTTAAACATTGATAAGAAAATATTGATATCAGAAAAGCAACTCATTTTTATACAAAATGATGATAAAAATATAAAGTTAGTGAGTGAGTTTAAATACCGATTTGAACAACATTCCATTTATATTTAATCAGGACTGGTGTATATAACAGTATTCCCGTTATATCACGGCGTGTCAGCTTAATGTGGGAGGATAGCCCGAAGTGATGCAGGTCTCAGACGTTTACCACTTCAGTGAAACCAACGAGCACGGGGATGGTGCTGACAAACCTAGAAACAATCGATTCGAACCCACAATCATAGATTTCTGGCGTGCCAAAGGGACGCAACTTTGCACAGCAAATCGCGGCGCCTTAGACGACTGGGCCACCCGTGCCCCCGGTAGCCTAGTGGTTAAAGCATTCGCTCGTTACGCCGATACAACTGGAATAATGTTAAAAGCGGTGTTAAACCCACTCACTCACTCTAAATAACACCAATATTACAATTTACTTCAGTAGAATTCTTATATTTTCAGCATCAAAGAGTTTTCACAAAGAGTATATCATATTAAGTAGTTATCCAAACCTGGCTCCCACAGGAGATATCGCTTGGGTGAGATCAAGCGATATCTACATTGTAGATATCGCTGCAATGAAATTTCATCACAATGCTTTGCAGACCATTGTGACGTCATGGTAACCAACCAAATGACATCACTAATTGCTCTGCTGCTGAAGCTATTAGCGGCACTTTTTACACTTTAAGACATTGCTTATTACTGTCTACAAACTGCAAAAGTTGGAAGAATGATGTTGGATGATAAATAAAATCTTAGGAGTGTTGATATATTTGATATCAAAAGACACGAGGGCGAAATTTCTCTATATACATACGTCAAGGGGGGATTGCTTATTGAATTTATAGGGTAAGTTCTTGGGTAGTTTTACAAATTCAAATTCACATTCCCCGTATTTTCAAACATATTTCGACTACAGAACGTCCTAATTTAAGCTAATATTAACTGAGGGGCAAAACAAAGTATACCGACTTTTATGTAATTAAAAATTGAATGAAATCGTTCAATTTGATTGTGTCTGTATAACAACCACTCTTTCTGCAACAAAATGAAAAAATAATCTGTGACTGGGCAATTTTGTGTCAAAATAAATTGGTTCAATGTAGACTGGCGTATTAAATGAATTTGCAACCATGACAAAAGCAAAGTGTTTGTTTTTCTGTTTGCTGTGAAAAAAACCTTTTCTTTATGAAAACCGACAGACAATGACGAAATATGAACTAATTTCTAAAGCAACGATGAACGATTTGTTTTCATTTTTAGAAAAGCAAACCACATTGCCTTTGCTACTTCGGTTTTAGAACAACTGTAACTAACAAAAGACCAGTGGAGTTTGAAAAGGCGTATAATAGTAGTGTTGGGTAGTATCGGGGGAGCAAAGCCAGTAGGAGTTATCTCCTCCTACCGTCAGAGTGCCCCAGCTACATCCACCAGAGGATAGGCTCCCCGTCGTCAACACCTGACCACCAAGGCTGCTCGTAAGAGCACCCAGCTACATCCATCAGAGGATAGGCTCCCCGTCGTCAACACCTGACCACCAAGAGGAAAGGCTACATGTGGTGGTGTTAAGATTCGTATAATGACCTACCCACCCAGTGAAGAATCAGAGACGATGTTTTCACCATCAGAGTGGCTCGAATCGTTGAACAACGAGATCAACCCAGAACCCCAGCCTTTGGTTGTTGGCCACCAAGGCTGCTCGTAAGAGCACCCCAGCTACATCCACCAGAGGATAGGTTCCCCGTCGTCAACACCTGACCACCAAGAGGAAAGGCTACATGTTGTGGTGTTAAGATTCGTATAATGACCTACCCACCCAGTGAAGAATCAGAGACGATGTTTTCACCATCAGAGTGGCTCGAATCGTTGAACAACGAGATCAACCCAGAACCCAAGCCTTTGGTTGTTGGCCACCATGCTGCTCCTACTACACTTTGTTTCGTTTCCAACGGTCCTAGGAAGCTAGGATGAAATCCCAGTTCCCTTTACCGTTACAGTTCCCGTTGCAGTTTTGGTACTTTTTTCCTCAACGGCCCTTTTCAGGGCTACCCAACTCTCCCGAAAGAAACACTTTGATCACTGCCAAACACAAACAAACCAACCCCAAAAGAACCCCTCACACCCACACCCTCCCAGCCGCCATCTTGGATGCGCACGCCCACCCGGAACCGGAAGTGACGCCATCTTGGATACACACGCCTCCCGGAAGTGGCGCCCTCTTCCGGTAGGATGAGAACACACTTCCGGTAGGGGGAGAAAACTCCTACTGGCTTTGCGCCCCCAGTACTACCCTATACTACTTATAAACATTTCGGCGCATGCGTAGATTAATTCACTTACTACGCATGCGCACCCTGAATCGAAAAGGGCGGCAATGCGAGAAGATATTTTATTGAAAACATTTGAGATAAAACGCATTATTACTGGCAATTTAAAGAAACTTAAAGAGGGATAACTCTAAAGTGTTCGGATGGGTTATTCAGGTTATCGTAACGCGTTGTCCTTTCCTGTCTAACTTTTAAAGCGAGCAGCACGTGAGTAACATTCTCGCTCGCGCAACAGTCCATATCGCCGCGTAACAGTAGCAGCATTACCAATAAAAGGAAGAGTGGGGTCTGTGAGGCGAGGCGTGACAGTAATCGGGGACCGCAGACAACTGAGCAAGCCGCCGCCGCCGCAGACATCCAGTGCAAGCCGTCCGCTCCCGTCCAAGATGGCGCCATATCGGGTGAGGTTATTCGTAACATAGTTTCAATTACTCCTCCCGAAACCCTAGGTATGTCTCAGGCCCATCTAACAACCCTCAGAACTTTCCTATATCTTTCGAAAGGTAGGTACCAGTCGCTCTTCCTTCCCGGCTCGTCGAACAACACGTCCAATGCAGCACTTATATGTTACGCTCCCCCGTCCATAGCGACATCCACCCAGCACACTGTCTCTGATATCAGCCAAATGTGTATTCCATTGGCTCAGGATGATTTGGGGGATATTGTCCCACAGAATATTAAAGAAAAGAATTGGAATCATTAGTATGCTGATTTAGCCATAATGCTCAAAACAACTTAGGGATCATCATAATTGTTATAGTGGTTTAGTAGGTGTAACGGGCCTAAATAATCGAGGCACTCTGCCCGCAGTCCAAAATTTACAATGTCAAAGAGTGGACATCAGCCTTTTTGGTTTTTACTAGCATTTATATTGAGAAATCTCCTGCTAGAGCTCAACAGTTGTTGAAGTACATGGACATCATATCACAGGCTAAAGGGGCGTGGCTGGAAACACTATGATCAGCAATTTATACTGCGGCTGTCGCGTTACCAACTAACGCCTTGGTCCAAGATTAACCAGGAATTATAGTTGTTATTCATGACCCCACAATCGTAAAACTCAGGCATGCCATATGAGCAGCATTCAGCTTACAAACCAAGATCTTCTGCACTCACAAGCATTTGGCACACGTCAAACCGGTACATGCTTTGACCAGCTAAGGTTTGCAAGGCACAATTGTCACAGCAAGCAAAAAACAAATCCCCAAACTGATTGAACCAGTAACTATCCAAAATAAAGGGACTTAACCAATAAATTTGCAAGTGTGAAAGTCCAATCTATCAGAATATCCTAGGTATAAGGAGGCATCCTACCTGTGGCAAGGTTTTAATGTTGGATTTAGCTTAGGCTGTACTGGAGTTTACACACCTTGCCCTGCAAAAAAACTGCCTGCCAATATTCACAACAGAAAGTAGACAAAGAGATAAGTTTAGGCCGGATGGCAGGACCCTATCTTAAAGCCCCATTTCAAGAATTTAGAATATCTCCCATAGGGCTGGTTCCCAAAAAAAACCCTGGCGAGTTCAGTTCACCACTTATCATATCCAGAAGGTTCATCCATAAATGACAATATTGATGACAATGTTGCCTCTGTCACATACACCCGCTTTGATGATGCGATCATTGGTACAGGGTTCAGGCAAAAAAGCACTTTGGGCCAAGGCAGATATATAAACATTTTCCCGAGGCAAGAGAGTTAACTGACTTTAAAAGTCCAGTTTCCACCCTTGCCGAACTAGGCTGGAATTACTGGGCTCGATCGTAGCGCCACCAGTGGCTATTACCAGTTATGTCCCTTCTAAGCCTCTCCTATTGACCAATCAGATTCCACTTCTCGTATCACTTGCGTTTGCTTCACACAAAATGATGGCGCCCAGTCAGGACGATCTGATCAATAATAAAGATCTATATTGTGATAAACCGGTTTTACATCGCGAAATGCATCAAATCACGTGAGCACCTTGATTAAAAACATGAAAATATTTGGAAAATATCTGCTGACAACGAGTTGGCGGTGCACATGCTTTGCAAATCCTGCAATCGACCGAAATCTCCACGATAGTTTACGAACCGGATTTCGATTTCAGTGCGCGATTTTGATTGGACTATGCATAGACTCGTTAGCCCAGCCAAAATGTAACTCCATAATTCTAGCCTAGTTCGGCAAGGGTTGAAACTGGTCTTTTATGGTCAGTTAACTCTCTTGCTTCGGGAAGATGTCCAAAGAAAGGTATATCAGAGTAAACGATCTGATTATTGTGAGACTGAAGCTAATATTAGACCATGATTTGGTGTGAACCATAAAGAGGCATGAAAGATATCTGCCGACGCCCAGTTGACGGTACACATCCTTTGCAAACCCTACAGTCGACCGACATCGGCACGTTGAAATCCATGTTGTTTGCGAGCCGGGTGTCTAATTCGTCACGCGATTTTGATGAGACTATGCATAGACTTCTTAGACCATCCAAAATGTAACTCCGAAATTGCAGCCTAGTTCGGCAAAGGTAGAAACTGGACTTTTTATAGTCAGTTAACGCCCTTGATTCGGGAATATGTGTATTGCTTTTAAAATCCCGTGTGTGACACGAGCGTACCGATTACCCTTGTCGAAACTTTATGTGTTCAATGTACTGCTTTTGCAATAATGACTTGATGTCCGGATCGGAAAACACATTTTATTGTATAAAGATATAATTCATTTGACAAATAATCCATTCTAATTTCTGATTGGCATCACAACAGATTGAATACAATAGCATACAAACTTATTCTGAAAACAATAACATAGAACGTGAGATACTCACAACAGATAGTGTACAATGACATACAAATATACTTCTGAAAACAACTTTGATAAACCATGTGAGATACTCACACATTAACACAAAAGATACTCTGAGAGTCTGGTCTGCCGTTTCTGGACCAGGCAATCCAGTGACTGACATTATGAGCAACGATACACACCGCCGGGTTACGGTGACACCAAGTCAACGATGTCACCGAGCATGACCACCCGATCCATTCGGTCGCCTCTTACAACCAGCATGGGTTGCTGGGACGTAATTCTAACCGTGAATACCCATGGGCTTCCGAGATACGAGGAATAACGCATTATGTGTACCAAGTGGATCATCTGAGTCTTGAATTCCAGTCTTGAACCTCGGAACATTAATTCATTGGAGACAGATTCTTAGTAAAATAGGGTGTATCATATTTACTACTTAACAGAAGTTACAGAACACTCATTTTTTTCTTATGACTCTAATTAATTTGTAATGGCCTGTAATATTTACTACTTTAAAGAAGTTAAAGAAGAACCGATTTTTTTCCATATGGCTATAGTCAGGCATGGCCTTTGTAAAGAAACACAGCAAAATATAACAACCTACAAGTATGTTCTTATTACATAATCGCTAGAATGGACAAGCAAGCAGTTACTTTGCAATAAGCATAAATCAGAACGGAATATATTTTCTCAGTGAAATCACTGAAGTACGCCACGTATTGCAATATTCCAGCAATTTCACGGGGTGGGTGGGGGGTGGGGGTGGGGTTGGACACTAGAAATGGGCTACACCATCGCACCCGTGCACATATTGGCAATGCTTATGCTGGGGTAGATAGGGCTAAACCTTCACGATCATCTTGCCGGTGTTAGCTCCTGAGAACAGGGACACGAATGCCTTTGGCATGTTGTCAAATCCGTTATGAACCGTCTCCCTGTACTTGAGCTTGCCCTGCAGCAGAAGAATGCATTTCAATATACATCAAGCTAGGATCCGAATCCATTAACTTCGTGGCCTTATGTGACATGATTGCAAAGGCCACCCTGACAGTAAACTTTCCAAGTGCTTTTCGCTAAGGGAAAAGTGATGAATAACTGCAACACTTAGAATCATGAACCCTGTGTTGACGTACATAAAGGGAGTCATGATAATTTGAACCCTGACGATCTGTTGCAATTTACTATGGTCTATGACTGCTATGTATAACAATGTGTCTATGACTGCTATGTATAACAATGTGTCTACGACTGCTATGTATAACAATGTGTCCATGACAGCTATGTATAACAATGTGTCCATAACTGCTATATATAACAGTATCTGTATGACTGCTTTGTATAACAATGTGTCCATGACTGCTATGTATAACAATGTGTCCATGACTGCTATGTATATCAATGTGTCTACGACTGCTATGTATAACAATGTGTCCATGACTGCTATGTATAACAATGTGTCCATGTTTGCTATGTATAACAATGTGTCTACGACTGCTATATACAACAATGTGTCTACGACTGCTATATACAACAATGTGTCTATGACTGCTATATATAAGAATGTGTCCATGCCTGCTATGTATAACAATGTGTCTATGACTGCTATGTATAACAATGTGCCTACGACTGCTATGTATAACAATGTGTCTACGACTGCTATGTATAACAATGTGTCTACGACTGCTATGTATAACAATGTGTCTACGACTGCTATGTATAACAATGTGTCTACGACTGCTATGTATAACAATGTGTCTACGACTGCTATGTATAACAATGTCAACACTTACCTCGTTTACCCATTTAAGAAGCTGGGTTCTGCTCTCCTGAAATTTGGAGTCCCAGTCGAATATGACGAATCCCTGTACTTTTAGTCTCTTTATGAGGATGGTGAGGAATGGTGACGGCACTGTAAAACATAGAGTAAATGAGTCAGAACTCCATATTAGAAGATTACATGTTACATAACACATTCATGCATGCATTAAAATGTTTTACTTCATTCACAGAGCGGTGTCTAAACTGCACATGACAAGCAAGCCGACCTGCGCTGATACGAGCGTCATCGTAGTTTGAAAGTTCGTTTTGGAGAAGCAGGTAAGAGTTACCTGCCCCTGTCCATGTATTGGGGAGGGTTTATCATGGACGTCATGTGTTCTATCTGTGCTAAACGTACCCAATGGTTCCTTGCCGGTGTTATAGGTGGAAATGGCCCCACCCACACACATCCGTCCGTAGTTGTTCATGTGCTCCAGCACGCGGTAGGCGTTTTCACCGCCGACCTGCAAAGACATGGCTATCATCATTGCGTTTCCCCCGTGAAGATTCCGGGAGAAAATATAGGTCCGAAGCAACATTTGCTTTTCATTTTGTTTGTTTGTTTGTTTGTTTGTTTGTTTGTTTAAAAGAAAACGTTTTACTCTGATACCTCCGAAAACATGTAAACACCATGATTAATATATATTTATTTTATTGTTGTTTAACGCGGTCTTTAAATAATCGAGTCTGGACCAGACAATCCAGTGATTGACATCATGAGCATCGATTTACGCAATCGGGATACGATGACATACATCAACCAAGCGAGCGAGCCTGACGACCCGCCTCTTACGACAAGCATAGTCACTTTTTACGACAAGCATGGGTTGCTGAAGACCTATTCTACCCCGGATCTTCACGGGTATTGCTTTTCGTACGAGGCGACTAAATGGCTCGGGTGGTCCGGTTAACTTGGTTAATTGCATTTCATCTTTACCTTCGAAAGATTGGGATACTAGTGAATCACTTGCTTATCTCGTCCAGACTCGAATACTTATATACTGTCATCATATAGCTGGCACATTGTTGATTTAAGACTTTAAACAAAACAATACACCACCATCATCATCACCATCATCATCATCATCCCCGACATCATACTGTTTTCCACAGCGTGGAACAGTGACACTCATTTCAATTAACATAAGATCACAGCTCATATCATTACTTCTCTGTATTAATGTTGCGTCCAAAATTAATATAGGCTTTAAAACTAATGAAGGATACACGGTATGTATTTATAGAACAGCGTTATACATGTAACCTGACAACTAATTAAAAACATTAGGCGTGTAAATGTAAATATTAACGTGTTACACACGTTGTCATAGAAACAGTCGATGCCCTTTGGTGCAGCAGCCTTGAGTGCGTCGTCCAGTTTCACTTCCTTATAGTTGAACACGTAGTCAAACCCAAGACTCTTCAGCCAATCACACTTCTGCTTGGATCCGGCAGACCCAATCACCCTGCAACCCTGCAAACAATTAAGAGTGAGTGAGTGAGTTGTGTTTAACGCCGCTTTTAACAGTTTTCCAGTCATATCACGGCGTGTCAGCTCAATGTGGGAGGAAAGCCCCAAGTGATGCAGGTGTCAGACGTTTACCACTTCGGTGAAACCCAAGAGCACGGATATGGTGCTGACAAACCTAGAAACATAATTCGAACCCACAATCATAGGTTTCTGGCGTGCCCAAGGGACGCAACTCTGCACAGCGAATTGCGGCGCCTTAGACGACTGGGCCATCCGTGACCCAGAATCTATTAGATTTTTGGTGACCTACAACAGAGTGTTGAGTGCTGAAAGAGATTCTCTTACTTTTAGGGTCGATTATATGACCCATCATATGAGAAGGGGCGGTTTGGTAGCCTAGTGGTTAAATCGTTTGCTCGTCACGCCGAAGACCCGGAGTCGATTCCTCAAAGGATGCAATGTGAGGTGAGGTGAAATTGGGTTTAACGTCGCGTCCAAGATTATTGCACTTATATAGCGACGTGCATGCACGTGTGTGTGTGTGGCTGCTTGTACTAGTCCGGACTGATGCCGATTTATAGTGCTAGTCCACTGAAATACCATGCCGCAGTTTAACATGAATACCCCACTCGGACACAGTATACAGACTCCGAGCCGACCAGTCCTTGTTTTAGCCCTTTATGCCGAGCTAGACAGGGTAACAACAAGTACCATCTTTTAACGTAATTTGGAATGACGCGGCCGGGGATCGAACCCCGCTCTCCGGGCGGACGCTCTACCACTAGACCACGGAGGCGGTCAAAGGGTGCAATGTGTGAAGCCCATTTGTGGTGTCCCCCGCCCCGATATTGCTTGAATATTGCTAAAAGCGACTTAAAACAATACAAACTCATGTAAGATAAAGATAATTCATATCATATATCGAACGCCGATGTGGTGTAGTTGATAGCGCGTCATTCTAAAACACTTTAAAAGATGGTACTTGTTCTGATGACAAAACAAGGACTGGTCAGCTCGGAGTCAGTATACTGTGTATGATCGGGGTATCCATGTCAAACTGCGGCATGGTATCTCAGTGGTCTAACACTGGAAAACCGACACTATTCCGGATTAGAACAAGCAGACACTGACAAGTATTCCCTGAATTGTGTTTCTCTATCCTACCTTGATCTTGGCGATCTGTCCAACCACACTGCCCACTGCCCCTGCTGCCCCGCTGACCAGCACCGTGTCCCCAGCTTTGGGCTGACACACCTCCAGGAAACCTAGATACGCCGTCACTCTGAAACAATGGCACCAGGACAATCTCATTAAAATCGGAACATTTACTCCGATATTATAACTCTCTGCGTGAATATCTGAGGGTGAGCCTTCTAACCAGCCAAACAGTGACCAGGCTTCTAAGCTCCCAGAACGGGTGAGCGAAGTATTCAGACAAGCATATTGGATTTTTGTATCTTGAAATTGAATATAATCGGCAAAGTGCGAATGCAAAACGATAAAGCAGCGCGAGTATTTTGTTGTGGACATTATATACATCGTATCTGAGCGCCATATCATCTGCACGAAAAGGGATATATTATAAGAGGGGATATTTGTGTTCGTTGCAAGGCTCGAAACTCTCAAATCGAGATTAGAATCTTGATTGTCTCCAGAACCCATCCTATATTTAGACCTGGGGATCAAAGTTAACTCAAGGATCACCTGACGCGACCGTCTGTATGTGGGTGTGGTCAGAATGTGACGGAGAGAGGAGTAAAAATCTGATTTTAGTGAGACCGGCACAAGAATGGTCTGGATACACAAAGTCGTGGAACACAACCAGGACTGCACAAAATAGCGCATCTATATAAAATGTCTGAATTAACTGACCGAACGGGCGCCCCGTAACCTAAGGCGCTACAATTCGCTATCAAGCGTTGCGTCCTTAGCCATGTAAGGATCAGCTGGTCCCGAGTTCGAATCCTGAATTCGCACAAATGACAATCTTTGGTCTGTCAGTTATAAACGTGTACGACTTGCGTCACTTTGGGCCCGTTACATCAGAACCTACAGGAAGACGTCGACATCAAATTGAATAAGAAAATACACTAAATTCTTGGTTACTTACATTAAAAGAGATATATTTTTTCACTCGCTCTTACCCTGTCATCCCAATGACTCCAAGAGCTATCGACGGGTCTTTGCCACCGAGGTTGGGCACTTTAAGAAGCTTGAGAGCCTCGGGGTTTTCTTTGGGGTTGACCAACGACCTGCTCCGCCACCCACTGTAACACTGGACGAGTGCTCCAACAGGGTACTCGCTGTTCTTGCTCTCAGTCACTCTGAAGGTTGAAGCAGCAATGGTTTCAAGACAATCATATACAGGCCACAATTAAAGGAGTTAGAAACGTGGTAATAGTTATTCAATCAGAATGTGTCATGTACTGCAGCCCGTGCCTTCCAGCACTGAACCATTTACTGACAGTTAAAATTATTCCCAGTCATCTTTGACTATCCAAGGCATAATATCTACAAATACTCTGGGCCTATTCTTTGTTTGTTTGTTTTGTTTGCTTCACGCCGCACTCAGCAATATTCCAGCTATATGACGGCGGTCTGTATATAATCGAGTCTGGACCAGACAATCCAGTGACTGACATCATGAGCATCGATCCACGCGATTGGGATAACATGACATGCATCAACCAAGTCAGCGAGTCTGACCACCCGATCCCGTTCGTCACCTTTTACGGCAAGCATGGGTTGCTGAAGACCTATTCCACCCCGGATCTTCACGGGCCTATTCACTATCATTAGATACATGTGGCTTGAATATTGAGACCAATTTGAAAGACACCACAAGAGGGTAACGGATCAGAGAAATACAACTGCAACGTCACTTCTTAAACAACGTTAACGTCATGGCAGTGATTATAGAAAATTTCGACACGGTGAACAATATTTATATACATATGTTGTTATATGTAGTTGTATTTATTGTATAATTCTTATTTGTTGTCGTTTTAAATGATGTGTTTTTAAACTGTTTTTGTTGTGTTTAATGTTGTGGTTATTTTTGTGTTATGTGGTGATTAACGGTGTGTTCACTGACGTGCTAATTATGATAAGTGTCATAACTATTGTTGTTAATGTGTTTAATGGTGTTTATTTTTGTGTTAATAATGTGTCCTACCTTGAGACTTGTTCTCCCATCAGCACTTTCCCTACAGCCAACCCAGCCATGCCAGTTCTTGACAACACAGAGATCATGAGTACATGTTACATAGAGAATCTCACCTGAGTGTCTTTTGATATCAAATATATCATCACGAGTTGTTAAAAGTGTAAAATCTCAGAGGTTTTGAAAGACCCGAGGGTGAAATTTTATTTTTCATCCAACATCATTCTTCCAACTTTTTCAGTCTGTAGACAGTAATAGCCAGTGTCCTTGGTTTAAAAAGTACTGCTAACAGCCTCAGTAGCAGAGCCATTAGTGATGTCATTTGACTGTGACGTCATGGTTACCAATGGTCTTGAAAGCATTGTGATGCAATTTCATTGCAGCGATAACTACAGTGTAGGTGTCGCTTGATCTCACCCAGTTTGGGATGACAAATTCTAATTAGTGAACCGTTCTATTGAATGAATTACCTGTATTTCAGAACAAATGTTCGAGAGAGTAGTGAGTGAGTTTGATTTAACGCCGCTTTGAACAGTGTTCAAGTTATTTGAGGGCGTGTCAGATTGATGTTCGAGGAAAGCCCGATGTGACGCAGGTCTTAGACGTTTACCACTTTCGTGAAACCCACGAGCGCTGATATGGTGCCAAGAAACCAACAAATATAATCGGGGTGAAGCATGATTCGAAACCATGAGACGCAACTCTGCACTGCGAATTGCGGCGCCTCCGGGAGAGTAAAAACTCCTGACAATGTATATGATTCAGTCGGCCATTTCCCCTCACTTATGAACTTAATCAGCAGTGTAACATGGATATGGTAGCTAATTACTTCACAACTTCGTTTTCAAACTATTAATAATTACCATTTAATAATTCGAAAGTATATTAATCTTATATATGTACTTCTACGCGTGCATGCACACTGACGCAAATATACAAATGCACGTGACTGACATTTTCTAATATACACGTGCATGTGACATGGACATTGTCTAATATACACTTGTACGTGAGATAGACATTGCCATATATACACCTGCATGTGACATATATTGTCAAAGTATACACGTGCATGTGACACGGACATAGTCAAAGTATACACGTGCATGTGAGATAGACATGGTCATATATACACGTGCATGTGAGATAGACATTGTCACATGTACACCTGCATGTGACAGATAGTGTCAATGTATGCACGTGGATGTTAGGTAGACATGGTCATATATACACGTGCATGTGAGATGGACATTGTCACATGTACACCTGCATGTGACAGATAGTGCCAAAGTATGCACGTGGATGTAAGGTAGACATGGTCATATATACACGTGCATGTGAGATAGACATTGTCACATACACACCTGCATGTGACAGATGTTGTCAAAGTTTTCACGTGCATGTGACATGGACATAGTCAGAGTGTACACGTGCATGTGACATGGACATGGTCAAATATGCACGCGCAAAACACATAGACGTCACGTGCATGTTTCATGTAAACTGTCAAACATCAACGTATATGTGACATGAAACACTGATATCCCTACTATGTGCACGTGTTATGAAACACTGTCAAACGCACACGTGCATGTGATATGGAACACTGTCAAACACACACGTGCATGTGAAATGAAATATTGTCAAACACATATGTGCATGTAATATGGAACACTGTCATACACACACGTGCATGTGAAATGAAATACTGTCAAACACACACGTGCATGTGATATGGAACACTGTCAAACACACACCTGCATGTGATATGAAATACTGTCAAACACCCACGTGCATGTGATATGGAACACTGCTAAACTCACACGTGCATGTGATACGGAACACTGTCAAACACACGTGCATGTGAAATGAAATAGTGACAAACACACACGTGCATGTGATATGAAACACTGTCAAACACACGCGTGCATATGATATGGAACACTGACGAATTAACAGGTGCATTTAGGTGCATATACAGAACAAAAAATAAACACAAACCTCATATATGGATCAACAGTCAGACATACTGCCTCAGTCACAAACTCTGAAACAAATTGTTAAATGTACGTGGTCGTGTGCGGTACACGAGCGATGGAACACATGTCCACGGGCACAACATGCAGGGAAACGGGAACGTAGAAATGGCTTGTCACAAACAAATATTATATCAAGCGTAGGAGGGATGCACTGAATTACAGATAAACCAGATATAATAAAATTATATTGTGGTCTCTGGATAAACTGATCAAAAATATTATTTCTTTCCGTAAACACGATGCAATGTACATTCATTTATCATACACGAAAGGCGGAGATTTTTAAAATTTGGAAAAGTGATATTTTCACAGCAGCGACAGAAAAGTACGGAAGCGTAGTAGGGCAACGGTGACATTTTTGTTGTCTAAGTAACTCGCACTGATCGGCTGATCGGGGAGTCACTCGGTGCAACGGAATAGCCTCGTTCACAGCCGTGAGTAACGAAGTTACCCGCCCGTGTGCCTGTTGCATAAGGCAGGATAGTCATATTGTTGAAACGCCGGACCCATATATACAAATACACAATGTACGTCACTCGCCATCTCGCCGAAGTTGAAATCTGCTGCATCGTTTGAATTCAATGGAAATGAACATATGTCATGTTCACAATACCTCCCCAACACAGATAAAATATATGTATACATTTATAAATACACTTAAAATCTGATAGTTTACCATTGCAATGTAACCATTCATAATATTATGACGAGCAAATTTTATCAATCATTGAATATTTCATTTATACATATTACATTTGTTAAAGACACGGGGGCACGGGTGGCCCTGCGGTCTAAGGCGCCGCGGTTCGCTGTGCAGAGTTGCGTCCCTTGGGCACGCCAGAAACCTTTGATTGTGGGTTGAAATCCCGGTTCGCATCGATTATGTTTCTAGGTTTGTCAGCACCATACCCGTGCTCGTTGATTTCACCGAAGTGGTAAACGTCTGAGACCTGCATCACTTCGGGCTTTCCTCCCACATTAAGCTGACACGCCGCGATATAACTGGAATACTGTTAAACTCACTCACTCACTGTTAAAGGCAACACGGCACGCATTCACGCACACGCATAGATACCCATGAAGCAATATGCTATTCGTCGTGCTAGTGACATTAATTTGCTATGAAGCATATGTGTCTGAAAAATAATTGGTTTGTAAATTTGTACCCATTTGCACTGATTAGTTACAGGCTGGACAAAAATTAAAAACGAGAAATGAATGAAATAACAACAGGCTTTTAGCATTATTTTTTATAACTTTTTAGCCACTTGCATTTTAATTTCACAGCTGCGCATATTACTTTCGCAAGGAAAAATGTTTCCTATAAAAAACCAAGGGGGGCAACTGCCCCCCCCCCCCCCCCCCCCCCCCCCCCTTTCCCCGGCTGGCTACGGCACTGTAGGTATGGTATGAAAATACCCATATAATAACCTTTTTATCATTTTTTACCCTAACATCAAATTGTAAAATGAATCCATTCAAAAATCATCTCTCAATTTCAGATGTGTCCGTAAAATCAACCTTGGTTGGAAGACATTGTCACCGGAAAATCAGCCGAGCAGACGACGCACCAAGGGACGTAACTCTAATTTCTTACGGCTGACATCGATCACCCATTCAAAATGCAACCCGTATTACGCCCCCTGCCGGGCTGATATGGCTTGATACGAATCTGTAATACAGGTCTGGTTATTACACCCCTGTGATATGACCGTCTCAATGTTGGCTCTATCGCACATGCAGTACCTCGTGTCATTGATGGGCATCTGATAAACATGCGTGTAGTGTATGTGGTTACTGGTTAGTACATATTATTGAATCAACTCCCGTTGAATTTCCTGGAATGTTACCACATTGTGTTGAATTCTTTTGTTAATTAAAAATGATTTCAGTACCAATATTAACTAGACCCGTGAAGATCCGGGGTAGAATAGGTCTTCAGCAACCCATGCTTGCCGTAAAAGGTGACTATGCTTGTCGTAAAAGGCGACTTACGGGATCGGGTGGTCAGGCTCGCTGACTTGGTTGATGCATGTCATCGTATCCCAATTGCGTGGATCGATGCTCATGATGTCAATCACTGATTCGATTATTTACAGACCGCCGCCATACAGCTTGAATATTGCTGAGTGCGGCATAAAAACAACAAATAAACAAAACAAAAAATGATAGAAAAAAACGTTTTCCCCTTTAAAACAAGATGGGATGTTTCACAGGCTGCTGCTATTGAAATATCGAGAAACTACCGATGTACCTACCTGTGGTTGATGCATGTCACCGATCCCAATTGCGTGGATCGATGCTCATGATATTGATCACTGGATTGTCTGGTCCAGACTCGATTATTTACAGACCGCGTTAAACAACAATAAAAAAATATATATATTAATTATGGTGTTTACATGATTGTTTTCGGGGGTATCAGAGTAAAACGTTTTCTTTTGAAATATGAATGTTTATTTGCCCTTTACTAAGAATCCAGAATTGAATATTCGGCCAGACCACATTTTGTACGCGGGTAATGGTTGATCATCATTAAAAACATACAGTAAACTACGGTTATAACGAACTCAAAGGGACTACTAATTTTAGTTCGTTATAACCGTAATTCGTTATAAGCATATATACAGCATAACCACAGCATATAGTCGGGACTAAAAAGTTCGTTCGTTATATCCGTTAGTTCGTTATAAGCGTGTTCGTTATAACCGTAGTTTACTGTACATGGCTGTGGAGAATACCGTATTGAGCGCAGACCTGGTCTCTACTTGCTTGGCAGACAGCCGCGGTTGAGCCAATATGTCGATCAAATCACCAGATATTAATAAATAAATTGCAAAATTGATGGTATGTGACACGCGTATGTGGAGGGAGGTGGGGAAGTATTGTAAACATGGCATGCGTCATTTCCATTTAATTTAAACGATAAAGCAAGATGGCGAGTGACCTTGTCTATGTGACGTCACGAGTTTGGCTTCCGCAGAAAGCCCGGCTTCAGGGGCGTGTCCTTCCGAACACTTGCATTTCTGTGTGGACGGTGAAACTTCACAACCAGTGACTGATTCACTGGATAACAATTGTTCCTGTAATTTGTTTGAAACTCATCTTATTTTAAAAGCTATGATTCAAATGTCGATATTTAATTCGATTCAAATTGCTTAGCGATCTCGCCTCCCTGCTTTTGTTCGGCGCCATGTTTGTTGTCTCAAAGTTGATGTTTTAATGGGCTTGTAGATCAGATTGAATAGAAGGCCTCGTCTGCGAGTTTGTTATTATATAATTTTTGTATTTTATTAGTTACATGATCCTGTGATTGAATACCTCAGGGCGTGAAATAAAATTAAAATAGTCAATTCAAATATTTTACGTAGTTTATTAATATTTTCAAATTAGCACTATATCTTGTTTGCGTGCAGGAAGCCATGTGTGAAAAGGTTCATGTGTACAGTAGGGAGAATTTAGATTTGCATTTTACTTGTTTTGGGTAATTTGTTGTTAAAAAGTCTGTCAACTACAAATGGAGTACATAAATAGGATATTGCATGTGAAATGTGATGTATCTCTCATCTAGTGACGCGGAAAGGGACATATCTTCACGAGTGGCGCACGTCACTGGATGTGAGATATATCATATTCTTAAAAGACATGACATATACTCAATATATTCTTTGTATAAACATGGACTTTTGACGTTGTTTCTTTGAAAATACCCCAAGGCAAAATTATAGTTGCAATGATCGTATAAGATTCTTCATAACTAAATTAAATAAATATTTGTCATGACAATGATTTGTTATCTCTTAACACTTAAAAAGACAGTGCAGGAGTTTGATGGGATGTTAATGTGGGGTAACAATAATTAAGTCATACCACAAAATGTACAGTTCTAATTTGGAGGACAATAACCAGACATTTCACCATGTAATGTAGGTCGTGCAAGGAAGACAAGTGCAGCACACGTGAGTGTATGCGTACGCGAGTACGTGCGTGCGTGAGCCACATTTGAGCATCTCCGCCGCCCCTCCTCACCCACTAGAAGCGAATACATGAACTTACATTTACAAGTGAGTATAGCCTGGGTTGCATACTCCCAAGGGAGCTGAGAATGATGAGTGCGCACTGATCCATCGACCGGGGTAATACTGTCTAAGCGCTTAGATCATGCTTGTGCATGGAGTACAGCGCAATACCATGAACTGATTTTCATTTGGTAGGTGACAAACTATGAAAACATACATGTAATTAGGGCGAACCGACATTTTAGCCATGGTCACAGATTTCGATGAGTGAGTGAGCGAGTTGGGTTTACCGCCGCTTTTAACATTAATATTCAAGTTACATTGCGGCGTGTCAGCTTAATGTGGGAGGAAAGCCCGAAGTGATGCAGGTCTCAGACGTTTACCACTTCGGTGAAACCCACGAGCATGGATATGGTGCTGACAAATCTAGAAACATAATCGGGGCGAACCGGGATTCCAACCCAGAATCATAGGCTTCTGGCCATAGACTGGGCCACCCGTGCCCCCAGATTTCGATCACGCCAATGGGACGAAACTGTTCAAATATTCAGTTAGCGTGCCATGGGTAAAGAGGGCAAAGCCGGGATTCAAACCTTCTTACATAAAAGAATTTAAACCTCATCCGGTACACTAGAGGGCACTGGTGGCCCAAATGACTAAGGCGCCCCAATACACGGTCCAAAGTTGCGTCCCACGGCTGTGTCAGGATCTGCTAATCGTGGGCTCGAATCTCAGATTCAACCCTGAGTATAATCTTTGGTTTGTCCTCACCATTTGCATGCTCGTGGGCGAACCAAATAGCTCAACGGACCTTCATTTCGAAATTGGGGGCACGGGTGGCCCAGTCGTCTAAGGCGCTGCGATTCGCTGTGCAGAGTTGCGTCCCTTGGGCACGCCAGAAACCTATGATTCTGGGTTCGAATCCCGGTTCGCCCCAATTATGTTTCTAGGTTTGTCAGCACCACACCCGTGCTCGTGCGTTTCACCGAAGTGGTAAACGTCTGAGACGTGCATCACTTCGGGCTTTCCTCCCACATAAAGCTGACACGCCGTGATATAACTGGAATACTGTTAAAAGCGGCGTTAAAAACCCAACTCACTCACACTCATTTCGAAATGTCATCTATGACTCGAAATAACTGTTAAAAGAAGTAAACCATGCAAGCTCACTCATCCCTGAACACACAATAAGCAATACTGCTGGGCGATATTAACTGCGCGGTCTCCATGACCAAGCCAGGTCTACAATCTCGACGACAACTGCATTAAGCATTATGTAAGTGCATCAAGCTGACTCCTAGCTCTCCCTACCTCCCTGCTTGGGGGCCGGAATCTCTTCCTCGATGAGGCGGAAATTGGCCTCCGTGGGCTCCCCCTCGAAATCCTTCGCCAACACCCATGCCTTTCCCTTCACCATGGTCGTGTATATCTTTACCCGGGGTAGATCTCCTGTGTTACCTTGGACTGCGCTGTCTCTCGATGTGGCAGATCTGCACGCCCGGAGACTTTATACAGACCGTTTCCCGTGAGTCAGCAAAATTCAGAGCGATTACGTTATGTGCGATGTGCATGTCATTGTTGACCTAATGCAGTGTTGATGTCGATTTGACTTATTACGCGTCATGATGACAGATCAGTTTTTAATTTATGGCAATCGGTTCTATCAAACACCCACAAGTTTGGCTCAGGTAAAGACAACAAAAATGTTAGCTGGACAAGCTGGAATTCCTGACAAAATGGTATTGACCTGAAACTGTGACCGTAAACATATTATGTCAGCTCATATGACCACCATAATTTTACACAAAAAAACAAAAAAATTGTTTGTGTATTTATGTGTGTGTATCAGTGCGTGCGTGCGTGCGTGCGTGCGTGCGTGCGTGCGTGCGTGCGTGCGAGCGAGCGAGTTACGTTTACACTTTGACTGCATCGTGTGCATATGTTAGGGTCAAATATGTAAGTTGACTCAGTTTTTACTTCGGCAATTTACAAAACGCCTAAATATTTCAATTATTTTTCGAATTGACTAGAAATCTGTTAATTTAGCTTATTATGGTAACGGATTCCAAACATTTTGATGTATAATTTCATTACCCAGTATCTGAAAATGTTACGATTAAAAGAGAACGAAAGTCAATGGATATTTTATATATTAGTATTCTTGGCTTCTTATCCTTGCATAATGAGTCTATTTTGATGTTTTTAAGCCATTTTAAAGTTCTTAATCAGTTTGAGCCAAGGGAATCACATTTTACACAGTGACTGTACCATATACACATCTACAAACGAAACGCTTGTGAACACAACGACTAAGTGTTGTCTGTCTGTCTGTCAACTTCCAAACGTTAAAGTAAAGGAACTAGAATGATTGTGTTCAAATACTGCAGCAAAAGAATGAAAACAGAATTTAAATATCGTAATTACAGACCACAAAAGTTATACTTTGTTGACCTTTGGTCTGAATGATGATGATATTGTCATATCTTGACTGCCTGATTGCATGAAAACTCTTGAGCTTGATATATGGGGCGAGTGAGTGAGTGAATGAGTTTGATTATACGCCTCTTTTAGCAATATTCCCCTAATATCACGGCGGGGGAAACCAGAAATGGGCTTCACACATTGTACCCATTTCGGGGATCGAACCCGGGTCTTCGGCATGACGAGCGAACGCTTTAACCACTAGGCTACCCGACAGCCCCTTATAGGGGACGGAACTATGTTACTAGTCTCTCCTTATGTTAATACGTGGCAGCATTTGTTCTTACCCCCTTCACTATGACATGTAACTACTTTGTTTAGATTGAATCTAATTCATGTATCTATCTTATAAAATGTATCTTCAATACTTGAGGAAATAAAGACAATCTATCCGTTGGTTTTACATATATGAGACCCGTGAAGCCCCGGGTAGAGAGTAGGTCTTCAGCAACCGATGCTTGCGGTGGTCAGGCTCGCTGACTTGGTTGAGGGCATGTCATCGTATCCCAATTGCGTGGATCGATGCTCGTGATGTCAATCACTGGATTGTCTGGTCGAGACTCGATTATTCACAGACCGCCGTCAAAGCTGAAATATTGCTGAGTGCGGCGTAATCAATACATATACAGTTTAGTCCCCTACTCGAGTAAACCTACATTTTATAAACGCTTACTTACTTACAAATCCACTGTGCAAGATAACAGTGATTAATCAATCAACTTATTATCGATCGATGTCTTTTGCAACCCAACAGATCATTCCTCTCTTGCTGTGCTGCCACGTGCATATTGCATAGCGTGTAATACATTCACCATATCAGACCTGGGTTCAAAACCCCAATCTTAGATTGACTAGTTACCCCGGACATGAGGAATGTCAAATGGGAATCACTGATTGTTTTATATCCTAGACAACCCAGAGGCAGGGATGAACGCTGTGCGGGTAGTTTGCACATTCTTAGTCAGGTAGTCAGGTAGTCAGGTAGGCTACGTGTTGTAGGAAGCAATGTTTACTAATCCCGAGTGATACCTGACTGAGAGTTACTTTCAATCAATTCAATCAGAAACCACAGGCACAAGCTCCGACCAACCCACACATCCAAGACCCTCACAACACCACAAAAACTTTTTTCATCCCCCAGAACCCCCCCCCCCCCCCCCCCCCCCCCTCATGGTTATCACACACACACACACACGCACGCACGCACGCACACACGTACGCACGCACGCACGCACGCACGCACACAGACACATACACACACAGAGACAGACAGACACACACACACACACACACAGAGACACACACACACAGACACACACCCACACCCACACAACCCTATTTTGACTACAACTTAAATCATGGAAATTTAAATCTGTCTTCTCACTGGGGTCACTGATCTAGTCTGTTCTATTTAAATCTTACTCACGACATCTTACATTATGTTTTGTCAGTCATAGTGGATCACATTTACACAAAAGGTAGAAGGTAAGTGTAAATGGCGGCAATGGACCATATCGGGTGTATTTTTAAAACCGTAGAAATGGGCCGCATGGCCAATGGGGACACCACCTCAGTTGTGTTACCACAAATTATACTCAGCTCGTCAAGGGCTCGATTCCCGACATGGGTACAATGTGTGAAGCCCATTTCTGGTGTCCCCCGCCGTGATATTGCTGGAATATTGCTAAAAGTGGCGTAAAACCATACGCACTCATTTTCTAATTTATGTTAAGTCGGGTAACCTCACAAGAACTCTCAACCTCCGCTCTTCTAGACGTCGATCGATCGGGTAATGTGTTCTAAGGTACAAAACGTGCCATTGACAGCGAGCCAATGCTACGTAAATGCGTGGAGAGAGCCTATGAACGTGGCACAGCAACCCATGTGTACACCACACATTCATACCGAGAATAGCGGTGTTTTGTCAACATTAACCCATCGCCCGTCAATATCAAGGCGATCCGACGCGCAAGGCGATCTGGCTCGTGGGACGGCTGAAATAAACATGTGTACAATTCTGTTTGCTCAGTCGCTGTCGAATCTTACGTCATACATGTTCTGACCTATCAGTGGTGTTACGATGTATAAACACACAGGCTTAACGAATGAGACAAGGAGAATGCCTGTTTCCTATACAAACACTACTACTATTTCGGTGATTCGTGCAGTGGAAAAACACAAGCCGAAGGTTGTTGATGTGCGGTGATGTAATGTTTAACAAACAGCGTTTTATGCAGCATGACGAGACGTATGCCGAAATGCAAAAGCTCTTACCTCATACAGTTAACTACGTTTATAACGAACACGCTTATAACAATTTGACGGATATAACGAAATGTTTTGATCCCCGTGCATTTGCTGTATATTTGCTGTATATATGCTTATAACGAACTACGGTTATAGCGAACTAAAAATAGTGGTCCCTTTGAGTTCGTTATAACCGAAGTTTACTGGATTCTGTTTCACGAAAACCTACCAACAGAAACTGTACTGTACTGGGCCGATTGCACAAAGCGATCTTAGCGCTAAGATGATCGTAACTCCCATACTTTAACATAGGCTTAAGATAATCTTAGCACTAAGATCGCTTTGTGCAAGTGGCCCCTGGTCTGAACAATCTGTTAAAAACATGGTCTAAGTGCTGGATGATTTAACTATGGAAGCCGTTTCATGCTAATGTGTGCACTACCTTATTCACTCCTGCATTATCGTCATCAACATACAACAGCCAGCCCCTCCTAAAGGCGAGTGCAACAAAAGTATTTCACTGAACACCCACGTGAGACGATGTTATCACTTAAGTACTACCGGAAATGATAGAAAAAATGCCGTAAAAGGTGACTATGCTTGACGTAAGAGGCGATTAACGGGATCGGGTGGTCAGGCGCGCTGACTTGGTTGATACATGTAATCGTATCCCAATTTCGTGGATCGATGCTCATGATGTCAATAACTGATTTGATTATTTACCGACCGCCGCCATACAGCTGGAATATTGCTGAGTGCGGCGTAAAACCAACAAATAAACAAAACAAAAAATGATAGAAAAAAACGTTTTGCCCCTTTAAACAAGATGGGATGTTTCACAGGCTGCTGCTAATAAAATATCGAGAAACTAATGAGGTACCTACCTGTGGTCTGAAGTATTTTAGTCACAAGAAGATTCAAGTCCAGTTGGGGAAGTCTGAAACGGACCATAGAAATATACGTATCTAACTCCGTTATAGTAATATTAATGTAGTCTTCATAAAACATCTAATCCACACAAAAACCAACATGTCAATTGGAAAAAAACAAAATTTGTGTTGTCAACACTGCTCCCACGACGCATACCTGCATTACACCTGTATGGCCACAGAGACGGTATCTGAGGTAGGAAATGTCTACAAGTTCTTTACACTTGAGAGAGATAGTGGGAAACCATTTATTAGTTTAGATAGGGTGTAGTACCGAACTGCACAAGCTCTGGGGCTTTCATATCAACAAGGGGCGGTCGGGTAGCCTAGTGGTTAAAGCGTGCGCTCGTCACGCCGAAGACCCGGGTTCGATTCCCCACATGGGTACAATGTGTGAAGCCCATTTCTGGTGTCCCCCGCCGTGATATTGCTGGAATATTGCTAAAAGCGGCGTAAAACCATACTCACTCACTCACTCATATCAACAAGTCTATGGTATGGTAAATAACACAAAGACGGTAGGGGTCGTCTCAAAACCCCAAAAGGTATTAGACAGCTTTGATAAAGGGGTGATCAGGAGAACAGCGTACATGTGTAGAATTCGGGAGGAAACTAAAGACACAATTAATGTTTCCCGTACTACATTACATATTGCTGTCAAAGAGTGAGTAAGTTAAGATTTAACGTCACATCGGCAATATTTCAGCCATATCGTGACGAAACAAAATTGACATTAACAGTATATAGTAAGTAGTACAAAATTCTGCCGACGAAGGGCAGTATAAAAACTAGCATAGCACAGATTGTCGTAAAACTAGTTTGACTATGTTAAAAGAGGTAACTAACAGAATCATTTGACAACACATTA